GTGGAGGAAGCCCCTAGCGCCCCCAACCCCATCAGAAGCCATGTGGCTCATCCCCAGCAGAAGCCAAGGGGTAGTGGGAGAAGCCCCAGCACTCCAACCCTGGTCCCCTGCAGAAGCGCAGGGGGCGTCAGGGGGAAGTCTCAGTACCCAGACCCCCTCTGCAGCACCAGCACTGAAGGAGCTCTCACTCCCTGTCACGGACTCAGGACTGGAGGATCTCTGACTCCTAGTTGTGGCCGAAGGGCCATGGTGTGGGGACAGAGCTTCTCCAGTCTTGGAGCCCTGGGGGGCTGGGGCAGAAAGGAGCAAATAGGCTGCAGAGGCCGCAATAAGGGCAGAATGGTGGGATCCTGGGTGGAACAGGGGTGGGCCCCAGGGAAGGAGCAAAAAGGGGCTTGACCACAGGCGGAAGGGGTGAGGAGGAGCCCTCCCCACGTGCTCTGGTCCAGGGTCCCAGGAAACCTTAATCCACCACTGCCCTTGCTATGCAGATAATCGGGAGTTTCCTGTAAACTCAAATCCTTACTGTTTGTAAAATATTATACATTATAGTCAGAAAGAAGAGACAGGAGATAACAGTTTTTGTTGTCACTATGGCATTGGCAGCAACAAAAGCAAACAGAACACAGATGTCAGTTGAATAAAATAGCACAGGCATGTATTGTAATCATGAAGTTACTCTTTTGAAAGTGATACTAAGGCATTAACCAAAATGATGTCATTGATACAGCAAAAGTTGCATGAGAGTTACAAAATAAGTTCTAGATCAAGAAGGACTAAAAGAAAGGAAATAATCCCTAGTTTCCAGGAGGAGGAGGTGTCAAATTACTAAAAAATAATCTAGGTTCACTGATTTATTTAAAGCCAAACAAACTGAAATAGAGCAGATGCATTTGAGAAACACAGTCGGGAAAACAGCTGCTACTTTTTGTTGTGAACGAGCTAACGTTTATTAAACGGGAACTCATCTTGTCATGATGGTCCATGAACAAAAGAGATGTAATATGTAGTAGACTTGGAAAACAAAACGTAATTTATTAAATTGTCATTATGGTCTTGAATTTTTTTTTAAAAACCTATATTTTAGAAAGCAAGTGAATGGACAGCGGGCAACATATAGGATTCCTGGGTTTTAAGACACTCTAAACTAGTGCTAAAGGTATTTTAAGCTTTTGAATGATGTGCTGGAGTCCTTTTACTAAACACAAAGAGTGTTTGCAGTTGGGAAAAGAAGAGGGTGAAGAAAGGCTCAAGACAAACGAAAATAGGAGGGAATTATTTATACCAATTATGGAAAGAAACATTCTTCAGAACTTAAGTTTATGAGAATTAATAATGACTGCCAGAACTATTGCTATAAATATGTCTGATATGGTACTATGTACCACAATTTGAGTGGGCAATTAGTCAAATTTCCAGTAGCTACCAACCAATGTGAACTGTACTATGTTTATTATTTGTTTTATTTTTCCTTGAGCTGTCTCCATAGTTTTTATTGTGCAACTCATCTTTAGAAGATGCCATGATTAGACTGTCCAGAATTGGTAAATATGGCTGTTACCTATATCAATGTCTAATCCATTCTCAAATTTCTATAAACTCTGTGCCTCAATGATGATAGCAATGAGTTCCACAGTTTAACGGGCATTGCATTGTATTGAAAAATATTTGTCTACCAGCTTTTGATCCACTGCCTTTCACTTTCATTGCACATTCCTTTGTATGTTGGAGGTTCCTGTATTATGATAGAGGGTAAACAGAAAGGCCTGGTTACACTATGTACACATCACTGGAGTATCTCTGTATCTCTGCACTGGTATTTATCCAACCACCACTCCATAATTAGGGCAACTAAAATGATTAGGGGTTTGGAACGGGTCCCATATGAGGAGAGATTAAAGAGGCTAAGACTTTTCAGCTTGGAAAAAAGGAGACTAAGGGGAGATATGATAGAGGTATATAAAATCATGAATGATGTGAAGAAAGTGAATAAGTAAAAGTTATTTACTTGTTCCCATAATATAATATAGGGGTCACCAAATGAAATTAATGGGCATCAGGTTTAAAACAAATAAAAGGAAGTTCTTCTTCACACAGCGCACAGTCAACCT